AATCTTCAGACTTGGATTTTAAACATTTTTACTCTAACCACAGTAAGAAAGATTTTACATAATGCAGTATACATATGCATCAATAGAGTCTATTTTCTATTTCAATCAATTTTATTTTTTAAATATGCTGGTCTTTATCCATTAAATTGATCTCCTGACCTATCAATGGGTTGCAACTCACAATCTGAAAAAACCCTACATAGTATATATATACAATATTATACCATATAATACATACACTTCTAATTTTCTTCCAATTCTACAATTCTATAACTTCTAGCACAGAGTCCAAAATGGCTCAGTCCATGTAATTATCAATTGCCTTTATTATTGTTACAGGCACAGAAATCAGAATGAGAAAAAAGACTCTTGCACACAGACAAGAAGAGAGACCACCTGGTGGTCCCACAGCAAAAGCCTCTTGCAAGGCCATGGGTCGCATTAGCTCCCCCTCCACCTCTCTCCAGCTACTCAGATGGTCTGTGTCTTTATAATAAGCAACATAGCAGGGCATATAGCCACACAGGCTTCTGAGTCTAGTTGCCTGGCTTCAAATCTTAAGCTCACTGCTTCCCAGGTATGTGCCTTTAGTAAAGTCACTTAACCTTTCTAAGCCTCATTTGCTTCATCTGTAAAATGAACATAAAAGCAATTTCTGTCCCCATGAAGATTAAATAAGAAATTCAAGTAGAGTTTTTAGCACATCTTCTTGTTATTATCCTTGCATAACACTCCTTTCCAGGTGGGCAGCTTGTCCAGGCCTCAGGAATGTTGGTGGCTCTTTCCTTAAAAACTCCATCCCATAAAGTGATACAGGATTGAACCCAGAGGGGAAAATGGAGACCAAGCTGGCTTCACCCAGACTTATGTGCCAGTGCCTAGGTAGGTGCCCAAGAAATAGTTGTTGAATGAATGAATGAATATGCTTTCTCAATGTTCCCATCAAGTGCATTCACAAGATTCCAGCTTTAAAAAAATCCAACTTCAAAGCCAGAACTCACCAATGCTGCCATCAGAACCACACCAGAATTCAGAGCAGGCCTCTGCCATGGCCGCATGCCTAGGAATGCTAAACTGGGCCTGGAATGGGAGATGAAGACACAAACCCAATGGGCATCCTTCTGAAAATCAAATCTATGGCCCTATTCATTAGTGATTCCCAGCTCTGGTTTGTGGCATTTGCCTCAGGCACTGTTCACAAGAGATTTTTAGGTTACTCCTTTGTTGGTTTCCAAAGGGCTTTAATTAAAAACACATTTCTATGCCACATTTCTATACCACAAAAAGCACCCAAGCCAGGGCTGCGGCTCCCTGAAGAGTGGGAGTCATTTTCACAGAGCCATTAAGTTTCAGGGAAAATGAATGACTGTGGAGGAGTTACAATGTCCCTGGGCCATGCAGATGTGTCTTCTACATCTAGATCTCTACAATTCTCACTTGGGTGTGAAGAGCTGGACTAGCAGAATCCCAAAGAGAAAAAAAGGAAACAGGTAGATGACTGGCCTTTGGCTTTCATGATAATAATAAACACCAGGACTTACTATTCTAGGCCTGCTGCATTTAGCCCTCATAAGAATCCATCAAAATGGATAATACTGTCACTGCCTGTTAGCTGAAGAAACAGGGACTCAGACAGATGAAGGAATTACCCAGACACACACGAGAGTCAGATGGGGGAACCTCCAAGCTCAGATTCACTCCACTGCTCCCAGCTGCTTCCTTCTTGAAATCCTGGATCCAAATGAAAGGCCCTCTGTCCCTACGTGAATCCACATCATCAAAATAAAAAGTGAACCTTCTAATATCTATAGGAGGAAACCCTCTACTATATTAATTGCTTTACACACGGGCCTGTCCAAGACCACCACCAACCGTGGAACCACGGCCTGTCCTGGAGGGTTCTGTGCTAAGCCTCCGAAGTTGTTTCAGAACTGGAAAATGCCTCTGTAGTGGACTGACTGGTGGTCCCCCCAAATATATGCCCATGCCTTAATCCCAGAATTTGTGAATATTACTTTGCATGGTAAAAGATGTAATTAAGTTCAGGATCTAGAGAGAAGGGGCTTATCCAGGAGTATCCAGGGGGGCCCGAAACACAATCACATGTGTCCTTGTAAGAGCAGGGCAGAGGGAGTTTTGGGACAGTCACAGAGGAGAAGGCAACGTGACAATGGAGGCAGAGATTGGAGTGATGTGGCTACAATCCAAGGAATGCAGCCCCCAGAAGCTCAAAGAGGCATGGGATGGATGAGCCCCAGAACCTTTGGAGGATCATGCCCTGACACCACACCTTGATTTCCGACTTCTGGCCTCCAAGGTTGTGAGAGAATAGATTTCTGTTGTTTTAAGCCACCAAATTTGTGGCAATTTGTTACAGCGGCCCCAGGAAAATATGCCCCCCTCATATGCAAACATATTTGGCTAGGACCCAACAGAGGCCGGGAATGATGTGGCTCCCAAAGTGAGAATTATGGTTTCCTAGATGTTGTCTCAGGGTCTCTTAGTAACAAAAATCCACAGATCCACTCCTTCGGATGAACTTAGAAGCTGTTCAGTTTTTAATAAACTCTTGAGGGATGATAAAATGAACAGATGTAGAGAGGAAGTGTTGACGGGCAGGGACTTGGCCTGGCACTTGGGAGACTAGAACCTGGGCTGGTGGGAACGAGACAAGCCTCGGGGAAAGGAAGTTCCAGATCCTCCAAGTATTGCTAAGGGTTGTAGGATGGTTAAGCATGTGGCTAGGTAACCCATACTTTGAATTGTAGAGATCTGCACCTGGGCTGGCTGATGGCAGAGGGGAATGCCTCCTGCCCTTTTTCTGGCCTTTGTAACAAGGGCACTGAGTCGCATTCTAACACGGTTGAAAGGATTTAAAAGATCACTAACACCCTGGAAGTTGTGAGAACACAAAATTTGGAAGCATTATGGAACGTTTCCGTTCTTCCACTTCTTGCAATACAGGTGTTGAGTCGGCCAAACTCATTCACTCTTTCCTTCAACAAATATGCTAGTATATGAAACACCCACTATGCGCCCGGCGCTAAGCCAGGACCCTAGTACACAACAGTGAACGTGAAAGCCACAACCCTGTCCTCCTGGAGGGTTCTCCAGAGAAGTGGTTTTCAACAGGGAGGTGATTTTACCCCCTAGGGGACACTTGGCGATGTCTGGAGATATTTCTGGTTGTCATGCTCTGGGGGTTGGGGAGAGGGTGCTAGTGGCATCTAGTGAATAGAAGACACAGATGCTGCTAAACATCGTACAGTGCACAGGACAGACCCCGCTGCTAAGAATTGTCTGGCCCAAAATGTCAATAGTGCTGGGGTTAAGAAACGCTGTGCACCTTGAGCAGCCTACATAGCAATAGCTGCGAACACAATGGTGGAGGGTGGGCTAAGGGGAGGCAGAGACAGGGGCTGGAAGAGCACACAGGAGGGGGCCATCATCACCCTCCAGCAGTCAGAACCCTCTCCCCAAAGAAAGCAATATCTATGCTGAGACCTGACGCACGAGGGGGAATTTTCTAGGTGGGAAGAGCAAACTAGCTTTTAGGTACGGCTAGAGGGGAGAGTGCATGCGCGAGCCAGTGTCCCCGTCACTTATGTTTGGGAGGGGAAGGGCCACCCTTGTTATGCAAGGTGGTATAACTTAGTGTTAAGAGCATGAGCTTGGCGTCAGATCTGAATTTAAGTCTCAGCTCCACCACCTACTGACTGTGTGGCCTTGGACGAGACACTTCAACTCTGAGTTTCTAAATCCATTTTTAGAAAATAAAGCAGAGGGTGGTGAGGAAGAATAATATCTACCGCTCAGGTGGTAGCGTTAGGATTAAATGAGAAAATGCACAGAAACGACTTGGCACGCTGCCGCAAATAAAAGATACTGTTCTTATTTGTGTTTTCAAAGGTCACTCTGGGCCCAACGTGCAAAATAAAATGGGGAAGGACAACCAGACACACTCCTCCCAGGGAATACAAAGCAAAGCAAAAACAAAATACCGAGATTTTACAGAACAAAAACTAGCCTGAGCAAAGCAGTTTCCGAGGCGCTTTAAAGTCCTTGATGTGACACTGTGGTAACCCTAAGTAACAACAACGGCAACATGAACAGCTCTGTGCCCATTGAAATCACCATCCTTTGAAGGTACAGGTGTCCTAGATAAATGGAACAATGTACACACCCTTCTGCCTTGTCAGCCTGAGAAACGAAATCCAGTGGAAACCTCAGAGAGGTCTTTATCACAGCCCCTCCTCGGTGACGATGATGAACTTGCACTCTTTCTGGGGCCAAAGAACTTGGGTCCCACCTACAGCAAGACCCTCCCTACACACCTCTAAGTGAAATCACCTTGATCCAATTTCCTAAAATGTTGCTTGCCTAATCATTTCTCACTGCTAGAGAAAGGGTTTCAACTGGACACCCTTGCATCTCTCCCTACAGACAACTAAGAAGTTAGGGCACTTTCATATCGATTATCCTTAACTGCTAACAATGTGATTTCTTAAGTCCACTCTTGGTGGGTGAACTAAGTCTCATTAACCAGAATTAAATCCCTTCTGCTTGATACTGTGAGTGGGACGAGTAGGATATAATAGAATAACTCTTCTATAGCCAAAAGAGTAACATGTGCTCTGTAACTGTGCTTTGCTTCCACAAATATCCGAATGACTGGTGATGGCAGAGTTGAACGCTATGGGGAAAGACATACACCAAGGACACCCCCCACCCCCGCCTTATACTGGTAATCTTCATGGCAAATGACACGTTATACAAACCAGGTATGCAAGGTCCACTAAATGGGCATCAAAGACTGGGCAGGGGAGATCTACCCCCCAAAAGAGTTCCAGACCACTTTTTGGTATCTAACTCACCACCTACCCTCCACGCACCAACCACACGGTCTCAAGATCCAACTCGGGAATATGTTTCTCTTGATGAAAGCAGGCACCAGTTTCCCCAGAGACAAAAATCCAAATCACAGAAACACAGGACCAGCCTTTATCTGCACATACTAAGTTGCTTTTATTAATCCAGAACGGCATGCTACAGATACTGTACAGCATGAACATTTATTCATTACAAAAATGGCTTCCAAACCATTAAAAATGAACTTGGAATAAGAGCATAAAACGGAACAGTAACATCACAACTGTTAGGAAACATTCAAAGTATTCACAAAAAATGTTATAGTTAGCATTTTAATAAACCAGAGAAAAATCGGAGACAGTTTTACAATCGCTTCATGTCAACTACAATGGCACTGAATGAACAGGTTTCAGCTTTATACAGCATTTTGCAACATCAACATGCCTAGGTATTTTTTATTTTTAAAGTTCGCTACCTACTTGTATGTAATATGTGTACATAAAAGCGGCAGCTGGTTTTTCATTTAAGAGTAATCTAATATACAGAATTTTGGCCCTTAAGGGTTTATACCTCTTCATTTAAAATGCTTTCTGGACAATCTGCTACCAAACACATTTTGTTATAGGTGACATTAAAACTACATACAAATCTACCTATGTAACATCACAGCAAAACATGATGAACGAAAATTACAGCATCAAAAAGAGGGAGAAAGCTAAAGTCACTGAGAATTTTGGCACATAAAGTTTTGCACACGGTCAAGTCCATGTCCTAAGGGCGCAGGGTATTCGACGGGGAGTTCAAAGGGGAAACAAGGATGGTTTCCACTGTTGTCCATACAGCGTCGCTAAAATTCCCTCACTAATTTTCAAGTCTTGTTTTACATAATGGCTTTTAAAGCAACTTTTGTTAATGCTACTGATCCTTAATGCAACTATGAATGTCCATTTGGCGGCATCTGAGTTTCATACAGGGAAAAAAAAAAAAAGTCAAAAAGGGAAACAAAAAAATATATATACACATTTTATATATAAACTTAAAAACCTTGTACAAATGAGTTGTTATATATAAGATGCTTATGCGAAGGGGGGAAAAAAACTTTATACAGTTTCGAGAAAAAGGAAAACATATTTAAAAAGGGACGACGTACAGGTACGACAAGCAATCTCTAAAGCAATAAATACTACTGGTCCAACAGCGTTGTGATTCCATTAATTGTTGAGTAGCGTCCCCTCCCCCCAAAAGAACAACACCATGGAACAAGGTATATTAACACATTTTAACCCTTTGTTTCTGTACATTTAAACAATAACAAGTAACATCACAATAAAAGTTGTTTCACACAGAAAAAAAAAAACAAAAAAAAGGAGTGGCACTGCATTCCTTGTGCCCTTATGGTTTAAAAACCAGATGTAGAATGATTGGTTCGCAAGCTCGTATTTAATACAAATAATACAGAACCAACTCCTTCTGGAGGGCTGCTTCAAAATTGCTTCTTTTTTTTTTTTCTTTTTGTTTTTTAATCAGTCTTTTAAAACTAGGCTATCCGAACTACATAACAGTTATGTATATATATATATATATTTTAAACGCTACAAAGACTTTAAACAGCTGTTGATAAAAATTTTGGTAGAATCATGAGGTTCTTCTCTCATCTACATATTTAAAAGGAGAAATTGAAATAAGAGTGGGTCAAATATTGACCAATGAACTCGATAAACATCAACTAATGTAGCCACGTGGCACAAAATTAAAAGAGTACAAAACAAAAGACTTTCAAAGGGGGGCAAACCAAGAGAAGCGAAACAGGACACTCAACCAACCAACCGGGGCTAACGAAGCTAAAGCTATTCTAAAGACTTAGTGACCAGGGACAGTGGCTGGGGCTGGGTCCCGGCCAGAGAGCTGTGGGAATGTAAGGAAGATGTCGACGGCTGTGCAAGCGAGGAGGCTGGGGCGATGGGAGGCAGGTCCAGGGCCCCGTTGGGACAGAGGGCAGAGGCCTTGCCATGGGTGGCCTCGGCCAGCAGGAGGGCGGGCGGCGGAGGCATCATGGACAGGTGGGCCAAGGGGTCGGGCTTCAGGGACAGCGAGAGCGGCTGGGTCTGCTCAGTCTGTGGCTTGGCGTCTCGGGGAGGGGAGCCTAGCAGGTGTGGGGAGGGGGGAGGCGAATCTAGTAAGCTTCCATCTGAAGAGGGTGGGCTGAGGCAGCTGCCTTCACCTTGTATGTAGCGAACGCACTTTTTTTTTCTCCTAGAAACAGGGGGAGAGAGTTGTCTATGAATAAAGGGTAAAGATGCCAAGGCAGAGAATTATCTAATGCTCACAGCCAAGAGGAGGTCACCTCACGGATGTCCCACAAAGATGGCATGCCCGGTGGCCAAGGGACAGGTAAAGTCACACCAGGGCGTGGCCTCCCTGAACTAGGGCCCACATCTGAGCCTGCTCCGGCAAATAAAATATTTCAGAGTGGAGAACTCCCTACCTGCTTGCCCACCCCTCCTAAACACCCATGACCTCCCTTCACCCCAAATATCATCGAGCAGACTAAAGGAAGCCACCTGCAGACGGTGGCACCTATTTGCCAGAATGTGGCTTGGTCCCAATGGAGATGAACTGAAAAGCTTGTTATGTCTCATTTGGCTCAGACAGTCCCTCATTTTCCCATCACATTCCAATGAGTCCCCCTCCCCCAATTCTCACCACTCCCCTCCCCCAGCCCCCAGTGATGTGTGGCTGCTTGTGTGTGCTTAAAAGAGAAAGACAGAGCTCCTTCCCCAGCCGCCTCGTATCAATATGAAACTCTCAACATGCTGACTGTTGAGCCCACGTAGCTGAAGGCAGCGCTAGCAAGAGGCTTAAAGGCTTTAACACACCACCACCGTGAGGCTGCCGGCGCCCAGAGGCCTTTGGCCTTGTCTGTTAAGAACCGCACCAAATCAAGAGAGGTCAGAGTCAGGTGAGACGGGAGGGGAGAAACAAAATAAAACAAAAGGAACTAAAAAACCGAAACAACCAAAACAAACAAAAAAATAAGCAAACGGAAACCACTGAAAACAGGTAGAAGAGGATAAACAAAGGTGGGGGAGGGGGAGAATAAGAAAAACAGAAAAATGATCCAAAGGAACAAGAATAACTGGTTGTATGGCCTGCAGGTTGTGGATTAAATGAAGATTCAAACTTCATTTTTGTTTTACGATTTGGGGCCTCCCCTCCCCCACCCCGTCATGGGAAGGTTGGAAGGAGAGCCGGTGAGGGTGGGACCGAGGGGCGTACTGCCCTTGTCCCCGGGCCGAGGCCAGTAAATGGAGGGCGCAGCACACGCCGGTCACGAAGGAGTGACGACCAAGAAGAAATGCCAGGGAATCGCAGTGTGGACCTTCCTGGGGTTGGGTGACCATTAGTGTTTAAACCAGAAAGACTAGTTCTGCCCTGCACCAAAACCCAGAATCTCCCCTCTTGACTACCCATTTATGTGAGAAACAGGAATGAAAATTTCAGAGCTTTTCTTGCTTATCATCAAAGGATGAGGTCTGGAAAAATCAACTCAAGAAATTGAGCATCTGACTTCAAAGCTTCTCCCACCATGAATCCCCATCTGATGGGACAGAATTTGGTAGGAAAGCTGTTCCTTGGGAATCAACCCCACTAATGCTATAAAAATAATACAGATACAGGGAATGTGCTCGTCTGAGGAGTCTTAGAATATAGTCAGAACCATGGCTGAGAACACTCCATCTAAAACAAGTGTGTGAGCACTGGCCGGCTTTCTGCCGCTGGAAAGCAACCAGGATGCTGTCTGCGTGAAGGCAACCACTGTCGGACCATGTCACTGGCCTTTGAAAGGAAGGGGGTGTGTTGAGCAGCTCCTCTCGGTCTATGCCCCAGAGCCGTCTGATCGTGCCCTCATTGCCTGGGGTGTGGACTCAGCAAGATGGCAGGAGGCAGGAAGGGGGGTGGAAGGGAGCATGCTCAGCCCTCCCTGCCTCCCAGAGGCCAAGACCCATGGGGCTGGTGGCCTCAGGTTCTGTCTGTCCCGTCTGGGTCAGAAGGAACTCTGGGGGAGCGGGTGCAGCCCCCTCTGCCCCTCGATTTGGCAAGGTTCCTTTTTCTCTCCAGGATAGACTGAAATAAACTCTGGGTTCCGCTCCCATCCCAGGAACCAAGATAGATAATCAAGCCTCTCGGAGTTTTAAACCACCTTAGCCTGCAGATCAAAACATGCTCAAAAAACTAAGATGTCCATGCATTTTAAAAATGGGAGAAGGAAAGGAAGTGAGGGTGAGGGGAGAGCATAAGCAAAACTGAGAAAGCAATAGGAAAAATAAGAAAAAAGGCAAGGGAGCAAGAGAGAAAGGGGGGACAACTGGGAAGACGAGGGGACAGCACCAAGCAGCATTCCATGCTATATTAGGGCAGAGTGAAAAGACAGAAAGAGCAACTTGGTGGGCTCAAAACAGAATCTTGTTAAAATGTCCTCAAACGTCAAATAAAATGAGAAACCCTGTGTGGCAAGCTAGGAGTGCTGATTGGCTAGGAGCATTTCTGGAGCTTTCCTCACCCTTCCCACCCTCCTTATGACATGGAAGTTTCCAGATCATGGAAATGAGTGGGGGCATTCTGAACACGGGACATGAAGACTATGACGACATAATGATGCTCCTTCTAGTAAGCGGCTGGCAGAAGGCAGTTGAACACACACACATTTCTGATGAGTCAAAAAATGCCTCGGTTTGCAACTGATTTTTTCTTTTTTTAAAAAAAGCACATTTTGTTTTATTGATTTTAGTATCAAGCCAGGTATGGTCATGGCAGAGTTAAAAAGCAAAGTTGAGGGAAAAAGGGACAGGTAACTACTTGTACAAAACCCCTGCTCTTACCCACCCCCCATCTAGGCTCCATCTCCAATCAGAAGGGTGGCCTCTTAAAAACCTATTTTTAGCATCTCGTACATTTATTCTGAAAGGAGACTAAGGGTTCTTCCTGTCCTGTTTTGGAATGACACCCTTAAAAGACAGCAGAAATGCACTTGCTAATGCTTTTACGGTATAAAAAGCATCCCCAACAGAAGAAAAAATGGCTCCCGGGAAAGGTCTGAAGATGCTGAGGCTGAAAGAAAACTGGGGTATGGGGGGAGCCTGTTGGATCCCAGCTCCTTTGACCAGGGGCTTCTAAGCATTTGGGACAAAAGAAACGCCGCGATATTGATAGTCCCTTAAAGCTGCATTTTAGAAAATCGTGCTGCTGAAACATGAAGCAGCTACAAAGGTTTTGGGTTTGCAGTGGGGTTTTTTTGTTTTTTGTGGGTTTTTTTGGTAAAAATATAAAAAAATCAAAAAAATTCTGGTCTCTGAGAAAGATACCACACCCTGGATTTAAGCAAAGTGTGGCCGTGTCTGAGGAGGGGATATCTTTCCTGCTCAATGTTTGCAATAACTTCTCGAAGAGAAAGAAAAAAAGGAAAAAAAAAAAGCCAAGTCTAGTTTGTAGAATAAACAACCACCACCCCCACAAATAAAATAAACAAGGCACCTGAACCAGCCTTACTGTGAGGCATACACAATGGTGTCAGTTGTATGTTTGTACAGATCATCAGAAACCCTCTTGTGAGTGGCCCCTGCAGTTAGCCAGTCACTTGCCATGGCAGGGCATCTCAGAACAGGATTCTGTATCTTCCCACTTGGCACATATAAAATTTTGACAAATTCACTTCTTTGACAAGGTAAGAGAGTCCCTGTCCTCCCTGGCTAATCCCAATTAAATACCTAACATATCCTTCGTTAACTTCATCACCAAACTTCTTTCTGCTGTCCAGAGAAGACCTCAGGACTGCGTTGAAAGGACCCTGTCACCTCTGTGAACACCACCATGTCACAGAATGACTGGGGGATTCCTCTCCTGCTCTGGGAGCATCTAAGGCTCCAAATCCCTCACTCAATGCGCAGAGGGTCGTCTATGTGGTTCCCTCTTGGTAAAGATTCTCAGGGTCTCTCTCCCCTAAACATTTGTTTGGTCAATGCAAGGCACTTCATCGATCTCTCGTACTGGCATCAGAGAAGGGGGGAAGAGACACAGGAGACTTGTGGGCATGCACGTAATGGGATGAACATCTGATCTAACGTCTAAACATGGAGCACATGGCAAAGGTATGGAGGAGAGGGACACCGGACGAGGAGGAACTACAAACAAGGAAGCATGTTTGGGGTGTTGAAATACCTACCATCATAATATTCCAAATTCAAAGACTGCTTGTATCAGAACAAAGAAACAACAAATTTAACCAAAGGTGGTCAATTAAAGAAAAGAAAATGAGACAGGAACTAGTTGGTATCCCTCCACCAAGAAGGAAGTACCTACACCTTCCCTGAGAATACAGGTTGGCTAGAAACCTGCAGGTGGAACATGGGTACTTAATTTGGACTCTTCTGGGCTGTTCTGATTCATTTTGGAACCAATGCTATGTACATACATATATATGTGTGTATATATAATTTTTTTTCAATTCTGCAGGCCTACAACGCTGCAGTATCCTTGCTGCGTGCTTTAGCTGGTGCCTGCCATTCAATGCCACGCTTCTTTTTCAGCACTGTAAAACAATGTCAGCTAACCAACTCCTCCGTACAGAGATACGTGGTTTTTAAACATTAAAAAAAAAAAAGAGAGAGGGAAAAGAAAAGCCTGCCCCATAGCACTTCTCTGAGAGTCTTGGCTTTCAGTGCACAGGAATGCTATTGCTGCCAAGTCTCAGCTTGCTCAAACCTTTGGAAATGGTGGCTCTCTACGATCAATACACATGCCACCCAGGCACTCCTAGGGCCGGGCCAGGTCCAGGATGCTGGCTTTCCAAGCAAAAGGATAAGTGCCCATCCTTGTTTGTTATGGTTGTGGTCTCAGTCCTGCCACCAGGGATATGTTATTTGTAAGAGCAGAGGGGAAAGAGAGAAAGTGAGGAGAGGAAACGGCATAAAATTAGCAAGGAAATTTGGAAGGATGAGGATTATTAATATTGATGCCAGTGGGGAAAGTAGATGGGAATGAGGTTAAAATAAAATTGTCACACTAAGGTACGAGAAGGACAGAATGCTTTGATTTTCCCAAAGGCCTCGCAGTGGTAATATACCTGCACGGTTTGCACCATAAAGTCTGTCGGTCAAGCCCGAACAGTGCCCGACACTTCTTTGGAGTATTTGCATCTGTTAGCATAAGGTAAACACAAAAAATACAACACAATGGTGGGTCGTGCTCAGTTGGATGTGAACTCTCAGCTACAGCTTACTTCTCTTCTACACCACCTCGGCTCTATGTGATCAGCTTCCCTTACCAAGGGCACGAAAGGAAAGGACTGCTATGCGTCAAAAGAAAAAAAAATGAAATAAAATGATAAAACACACACACAAAAAAACAACAACCAGAAACCAAAAAAACAACAATGAAAAATAAATAAAAGAGAGAGAAGAGGAGGGGAGAAGGTGACGTCATTTGCTTCTACCTAGGCCAGGAGGACGATCCTGGGCTGTCACAAGGAAGGGGGTTGGCAGGCAACATTCCCTGGGAGGGGGCGCGCTGGGGGTTGTGGTCGCTGACCCGAGGAGGCACAAATGATGCTGTTTTACAGTGGCATTTTGGCTAGCAGCAGCGGGAGAATAAGCACATCCCTCAGAGAGCCCAAACACATGGCAGTGTCCCACTCCCTCATGTCTCCTAAGATCCACACACAGAGCTATAAAGCAACAGGCCAGAGAAGGGGGAAAGGACCGAAGAGACCAGCTGCAAACCAGCACAGCGAATCTGGGAAACTATACACACCTGCAAGGGCCGCACCAGTTATTCTGTTGATCAAGGCCAAAGCGCGCTCGGCATTTCTTAGGAGCGCTCAGGTCTGAATGAGTTCAGAAAAGAAGCGAGCAGAGGAGGAGGACGTGGGAGAAAGGGGGAGAGAGAGAGAGAGAGAGGAGAGAGAGAGAGAGGAGAGAGAGAGAGAGAGAGATGGAGGGAGGGAGGAAGGGAGGGGGGAGAGAAAGATACAAATAAGAAAAAAAATCAAAATAAAAAAGGGAATAAATCAATGACCTGGTTACTAATTGCAAAATATTGACTTTTGTTTTTTAACGTTCTTTAATTAAAAAAAAAATGGTAAAAATCACATTCTTATTCAACTTGTGAAATTAGCTGTTGCAAATAAAGCTGCAGTATCCCTTCTTTAAGGACTGACTCTCAGACTTTTTGCACTGACACAGGGAAGTTAGATACTAAAGAAGAACTCAATCTTTTAAATAGTTTTCTCTTTTAGTTTTGTTTTTCCTTTTTTTTTTCCTCTCAATTGTTTTTTCTTAAAGAAGAAAATAAAGCGGAGGGAATTAAGTTTGTAACATGCTTTTTTCTTCTTAGAGTAAAACAGTTTAAAAAAAACTACAAATAAAAACAGAATGAAACAAAACAAAACAGAAAGAAATAAAGAAAGAAAAGGGTTGTGGGATTGGGATATTGCAGCTTTTGGAATGTTCATCTTTTCTTTTTTTTTTTTTCTATCTATTTTCATTAATATTAAGAGAAGAACAGGTAAAGGTAAACAGGCTGTGTGAATGAGCTGTTAAGAGTTAGTAAGAAGCTCATAGCAGCATTTAAGCAGGCACAGTCAGTAAATGCTAGTGGATTTGCAAATTATGAAAAGCAAAAGGAAGAAAAAAACTAAAATAAAAAAAAAGCAAAGGAAAAAATAATCATACTGCGAATGCATGCTTGCAGGAGAAAACTTAGTGGGAGCAATGAACAAAATGCCATTAGATTAAGGAGGTTTATTACTGAATTCCTTCCATTTTTTTTTTTAACCAGTCTCTTTTAAAGAAATACTGCATATTCAATTTGCACAGTTAGTTCAACTCTAAATTATTGTCATCACCGCTTAAACAACTGTTATGGGAAAAATAAATAAATAAACAAAATAAAAGTTAAATTAAATTCAAAAACCAACAAAAGCAACTGAAAAAAAAAATCTACTGAAACATACGAAACCGTGTAGATGGTCACTTTAAAGAATGTTCAAACGTCATACGTGTTCAACGTTAATAAAACTATAATGGCAAGAAAAATTAAAAAACAGTTTATCAACTATTTTAATGACTCAAAATGACATTAGCACCTGTAATCGGAGGAAGTGAAAGGCAAGGATTTAGGAAACATTCGCTGTGTTCTGAAAAAAAAGAACA